TACATCAACAACTATATATTTTATGAATGAATATGCATATATATAACAATGTATAGGAAAAATTTTAAAAGAAATAGAATTAACAAACTTTTTGACTTGATTATTTACTAACAATGAAATCTCACATCGACTAGAGATACAATAACATTATAATATATATATATATATATATATATATATATATATATATATATATATATATAAAAGTACAATCTTCATCATATTGAGAATGTTTATAAGATTAAGTTAGATATTTCACCATTTCTAATATAGGATAAGTTAAAAGTTTAATAAAACTACCTAATAATAAGTTAAAATAACTTTACAACTTTATCATTAAGATAATAAGTTTGATCAACTTGCATAAAATTTTTATTAATTAGATGATTAACTTTTTTAGAGTATCCCATATAAATAATTTCTAAATTAAAAAAATATATTATTATGCTTCCTAATTTTCTTATAGTCTTCTTCTCTTGTTTTTTCTTTATTTTTTTTTCCAGTTTCTCTATTATTGCATTTGTCACTCCTATTATTTTCTTTATCACATAAAAAAGAAAAGACAGAATGTTCTCTCTTTATATTTTAAGAATTAAAAAATTATTTTTTACGTATAAAAAATAGAAAAGATAAGTGAATGATTTTTAAATAATTATAGGGGTAATATAGTGGGAGAAAAATGACAACTTTATAATATTTATAAGAGTAAAATTAGAATAAGTATTCTACATATAAAATTCTTATACATCATTATAGATAATATATTTTTTATTAAATAAGTTGGGGCATAAAATGTTTTTACATTGTCACTTTTAAAACTATTTATTCGTTCTCTTTGATTCTAAATTTATGTTTTTTAAATTAAGTATCTTATAGAGTTACATTAAATATACAAACACTTTTTTTTAGTTTAAACTTTCTAATTTTCAAGCTATCATAATTTAAATTTATACTATTTGATGAAGAGATAGTGAGTATCTCATAGTAATTATCAAATAATAACTTTATCACTTTATCATGTGTGAAATTACTTGTAAATATTAAAATTCCAAAAAAAAGTGGTTTAAAATTACTATGGATACACACATAGCAGAAATATATAATGTAGATGTAATATTTTAAGAGAAAGAGTTGCATGTACACAACACTAACACATGTTATTTGTACACATATATTCAAAATATGATAACTCTTTAAATTTTGTCTCACCTTTGCATTTATTATTTCTCTTCTAATCTTCTCTTTTTTTAATGAGTTTTTCACAAGTAAAATTAAAAATAATTTTTCTAAATTATATTTCAAAATAATTTAAAATATATTCATGAATCTATTTTAAATAATAATATAATTTAACTAATATCTAAATAAAATATATATTTAAAGTAAAATAAATTCTTTTATATTTTTTAAAATATTTAAGATAAATATTTTACAAATTATAGATAATTTATTTAATTAATTAGATAATATATGTTTTATTATATAAACATCATATAATTTAATATTTTTATTTTAATAAATAGTTAACTTATAAATTCTTTTCATATTTAATATACTACTGGATTGAAGTTTACATAATTAATTACTTTTCATATCAATCAATACATTATTGGTCGAGGTTTATATTATTTATAATTTTTAAAATATTTAATTTATTTTAAAATAATATATATATGAAATATATATTTTATTTAGATTTAGATTAAATTATATTATTATTTAAAATAAATATTTAAATATATTTTAAATTATTTTGAAGTAATTGAAGTGTAAGTGAAAAATATTAGAATTAATTTAATTAAGACTTATGTGAAATATAATGATGGATTTAAATATGATTTAATAAAATATAAGGATCTATTGATTATTATGAGAAATCAGAATAAAAATATACGGTAGTTGGACTTGAGTTAATGAAAAGTGAGTAAGGTTTTGTCTTTGGTCATACTGTTCTTTTTCACAATAAATAAATCATCAGAAAGTGGGAGAAAGAACATAAAGACAAAGACATGGATTGAAAAAAAAAAAGAGGTTGGAAAACAAAGAGATTAAAGAATAAATTCTTATGGATCAAGTTTAGTCTTCTTATTATAATTTCTGTATATGTAGCTTTCTGGAATGAGAACATAAGAAAATTACATAATTGATTTTTTTTTTAATAATGATATTAAAATTGAGAAAACTTGCATGCATATTACTTATACGTCGTATTTATACGCACTCAATTAAAATATGACTCAAAGAGTTTTTATTTAAGAATAAAAATAAATATTTGTTTATCACTCATTATTTTTTTCTTAGAAGATATATTCTTTCTCTTTTAATTTTTATTTTCTCTATAATTAATTTCTCACAAGTAATTTAAAAATATTTTTTAAAAATTATACTTCAAAATAATTTAAAATATATTCATGAATTATTTTGAATAATAATATAATTTAGTTTTTATCTAAATAATATATATATTTAAAATATAATATATTCTTTTATATATTTTAAAATATTGTAAACTAAGATAAATATTTTATAAATTATAAATAATTTATTTAGTTAATTTGATAATATTTTTTTATGATAAAATGGTATACTTTAATGTTTTTAATAAATAGTTAAGTTTTAATTATTTCTTCTTTAATACACTTGAGTCTATATTTACATATCAACTATTTTTTCATATCAATAAATACATTATTGGTCAAAATTCATATTATTTGTAATTTTTAAAATATTTATCTTAGTTTAAAATAATTTAAATATTTAAATTATATTATATTATTATTTAAAATAAATCTTTAAATATATTTAAAATTAGTTTAAAGTATAATTTTTTTCAAAAGAGAGATAAAAAAAGAAAAAGAAAATATCAGTGAAATATAATGAGTTGTTAAATTTGAAGTAATTGTGTAGAAATATGAGGGATGACGGCCTCAGTTCCACACTAAAGTTTTGATATATATATAACTTTATATGGGCAGGGCAGCTAATAATTTTTTTCAGTATTTCTTTATAATATTTATGATTTTTAGTAAATGAATAAAAGAGTTTTATAGAAAAAAGAGAGTAGAAAATGAAAGATGTTACCTGATCCAAAATTTAATCCTATCAAGATGAGAGATGTAAAATCCATATATATAAAATGCATTAGAGTTATGAGACATTTTTACCTATACTTAACTGCTATTTAACAATTTAAACATGTATTTTCTTAGTAGTTTATTTAACTTTGTGTGTAATTCATTCTCAATAACATAAATATATTGTAAATTTTTTTACTCTTATATTAAGTTAAAGCTCTTTACATCAAATAATTGTTATTGTTATAATGTAAAACTAAATTAGTTATTATTGTTTGAAGAGAATAAAAAATTATTAGGTATGTTATTTGAAGGAGAAAATTATTGAGCGTTTTAAAAAAAATCATATATTAATATATTAAGTACTTCAAATTCATATTTAGAAAGGAAAAAGAAAAACACCAGGGTAAACATTCTAGTAATAATGTGTAATAAGTCGCTAAAATTCCTCCTAAAATTCAATATGGAGAATGAAAATTGGGTTTCGTGCATAAATAACACGTTTGATAATAATAATAATAATAATGAAAAAAGAGTGACTAAATGCATATTTAGATTTTTAGTGGAAATATTTAAAAACTATTTTTGAAATAAAAGATACACTTACTTTTCATTTAACAAAATTACTTTTGAAAACTTGTATATAACGTTAGCCCAAACAAAAGATAACTTCTCGTGAACATAATTTCGAGTATCAAATCACGAATTTAATAGAAATAAGCATTGAGCCATAACAAACTATATTTGAAAAACTCAAATCAAAATCCAATTTTAATTCAAATTTATTTACTTGTTAACAAATAGTTTGCTTATTTCGTTTTTAAAATACCAATTTTGATAGTACAAATTGTTGGTTCCAGTAAAACTTAGTTCAGATTTTTTAGTTAACATTTAGGATTCAAGTTTCGTGGACATAACAAAACCATTAAAAATAGTTAATTAGATTATGTGATAAATATGAATCATCAAATAGATTTTGATAGATTTTTGTGACCTAAAGAATTAAAAGGTCTTCTTTTCAAAATTAATATTGTTTGTTTCAAAAACTCAAACTACTTACAATTTTATCTTAAAAAAACATTTTAATGCATTAACAAAAAATATATTTATAAATGACTCTTAATATCGAATTTTAAACCATTTCATACTTATAAATATTATACAAAATATAATTCTCTGGTCAAGGAGTTGAAAATGATTGAAACTCTAATTTCAATCTCACAAACTTAAGATGAAACATTTTTATTTGTAGACAGGACAATTTGTTTAATGGCCAAATTTTCTTTTTCCATTCCTGAGATTTTTAGAATGGGAGTAATTTAGACTATTTTTTTAAGTTCTTTAACTGTTAAAGTCCATTCTGATTCCCGAAAAAGTAAAGTAATTGGACAGAAAATTTTGCTTAAATATCACGTTTAAAATTGGATTCTGGCAAAGTAAAGTAATTAGTTCTGGATCAAAACTTTTTTTCATCCATAAACTAGTCTAGTCAAAATTAAAGTAACTTTTAATAGAATGGTGAACAAACTTAATATGAAATTTAGATCTGGTTTTGAGCCTAATTTAGACCGACATTTTTGGTACTAATCATATATTTATATCTTATTTAAATAATGCAAGTGGAGTAAATAAATAAATGTATAATGGTTAAATCTTTTCTCTAGTCAAACATTGAGGTGTACTTAAAATTCTGGATATGGTCACAAGAGTTCATAAATAAGAGCAGTACCATATTTACAATGTAATCAATATTTTAATCAAAGTTAAATTTTCTTTCAACTTTTTAGAAATGGAAACAAGTCATAAATTGTATTTGACGTGATTTTTTTTTTTATTATCTTGAAACTACTTTAATGTTGGAATTAAGAATATAAGAAGTAAAAAATCTTTTGGCAATATCTTTCCATTTGATTTTACAAATTAATCTCAGAAGATGTACAGATCTGGTGGAGGTCCATACACACTCATCCAAGAAAGTGGAACTCGCCATTTGCCACCTACAACTCCTGAAAAGGCAATTAATTTTACGAAATATTAGCAACGAATCGTACCATTTTTTTACTTACAAATATGTTTATTCACTTCTTACAACACTCTTTTAACTTGTGCAAAATGAGTCACGTGGTTGAAAGGAGCAATACTAAGAGAATTGAGGTGTGTGTAAGAAATTCGTCAGAACCAGAAAGTGAATATAGTCTCAATAATAGGACAAGGGACACCGGGTTTAGGAATATTAATCTTTAAAAATCCACATCAAAGTAACAATATGCCGTGACATTGGAGAAGAAAAAATAGTGAATCCTAATATCCTCGAAAAAAGATAATGGAAAATAGTCATTAGTTGTCATGATAAGAGAATTTTAGTATGAATAACAAAAAATAGACTAAAAGCAATAAAACAGTATATAAAAAGATGACGAGGATAAATAAAGCATAATAATCATTGTATGAAGACAAGAAAGAAAGAAAAAGAAAGCTCACCAGCAGTAGGGTGAGTGAGGCGGAGAAGTCTACATGTTGCATCGGCTAATTGAAAAGCATCCGGTATATTGTCCCCTTCAGAGCAATAACACAACAAGCAGGTGACCTTGAAACCTTTAGCCTGATACATAAAAACCATAACCTTATATCCATCATCAATCCATATTTTAATGCTCTATTTCTACAATTTTGTAATGAAAGGGTAAGGGATAACCACATTGCTCTCCTTCTGTATTTATTTATTTATTTATTTTCAAATGGTGATCAACTAAACTATTATATTTTACCATTCTCTACGATGGAGATTTAGTCTTCATATGAAAACAAAATCCCTAATGCAATGCACCTGGCCTCACCTTTCACAGCAAGCAATCTAAGTAGAGCCTTAATCATCGCATGCAAACAAAATAGGGCATACCATGTAATTGAAACTACTTACAAATAGAAGGAATTCTTTTTAAAGAAAGTTCATGACAACAAGCATCAATCCAAAAAAAACAAATTTACATGATGGCATCATTTTTCCTTTCCTCTTACAAATGGTTACAGGATTAACAAGAAATGTGGCATCATGATATTTAAATGCATATACGTTACCTTGAGAAAAGAAAAAAGTGCAGCAAAAGGCAAGGTAGCATAATAATTTTCCTCTTCTAGCTCATCTTCTACAGAAATAATATCTTCCAGGGTAGCATTTCCTTCAGCTAAATCACTAAGATTTTTCCAACGTTTTTGGGAAGGATCATACTCCTGAAGTTTCTTCCATCCAAGCTGTTCACAGTTTTCATCAGTTCCATTGCTGTTGGCACTAGAAAGGTAATAAATCTGCAAACCACTAATGTGATAGCCAATAGATATATCAGAATGGAAAATCACGATGCAATTTCCTAAACCAAGTTGGATTCTAAAATGTTACATGATTATCATAGTGAGAAAGGGCATATCTTCAGAGGGTCATAATTTGAACAGACGTTATAATCACAGAATTGAATAATTAAATAATCTTAATAACGAAGAAGGGCTACTTTCCAAAATATTCTGCCTCACCTTGACATGTCAACTTTTTGCCACTTTCCAAAATCTAAGCTGGAGAGAACAATAATATGCTTCTTTCCACTACCGGCAAGAAAATCAGCCATGTTTTTTGCAAACTCAACCATCATACCCTATTCAAATGACCATGTATTAGTGTAATTTCTTCTTACAGATACCAAAATTACTTTTGCTAATTTCATCATTAAATTTAACAGAAAACATTAAGGTAAGGTATACTGCAAAAGCATAAAGAAGAGTGCCGTAAACAAGTGGCATGTACAGTAGCTCTTGCTTACTCCAGCCAAACCACTAGTCAAATACCCACAGTTCTGACAGATACAACACCTTGGATTACAAACAAGGCCAGAAAAAAAGACAGACAGAAGAGATTCAAACACAAGAGGAAGTAGGTCCTATCATTCATTCAAGACGTCGAACTTCAGCTTTTCAGGTTAGAATACTAGCCATAAAAGAAATATGTGCAGCCAGGGACAATATGAGTTAGTAGAATACTGCCTCGGTGCCCAACATGAAAATACACAAAAACACTGCTAGTCTAGTAATATGTCCATCCATATAATAACCCTATGATAATCTATTCATTCCACCCAAGGGAATGTCTACCGTTGCAGGTAATAAGATGATGACAACAAACAGAAACACTAAATATCACAAATTTGAATGATAAAAAGGGGGCTGAAATTAACACTCAAGAACACACGTTTAAAATAAAAATGTACCACTGAAGTTTCAGCCTGACCATATTCGAAGTTTACAGCCAACAACTAAGCTTATAACCCACACATTGCAATTCACTCAGTGATCGAGTAGCTAAAAATCAGTACATCAGATTTAGGCAAGCAATTTCAGATCAAAGGAACAAAATAGAAGCTGCCTCGGGTGGTACCTTAATCACTGGCGATCTCTGTTGGATGATAGTAAGAGCATTAGAAGGGGAATCATAAACTGCAAAATGTTTATGAGAAGAAGCATACAAAATGAGATTAACAACAGTAATAGTAGAGAGAAAAGAAATAAAAGTCAAAACAAAACAAAGAGGACCTTCGAGAGGAAGTGCCAGGTCTCCTAGAGGAAAGGGTCCATAAGCATCATTGCCAACACAGGGCAAAACGTTAGGATCATCCAAATACCCAACTCTCTCTGAACTCATTGATGAAATTAGAAGATCTGCAACTAGCTGTCCCACATTGCCAATCGACAGAGCAGGCTGAAAACACGTAAATTACAATGATGCAACATACATATATACATGTATACATACGTTACACGCCAAAACACCAAATTAGTAGTTAATTGTTGGGTATAAAATTGAGCTAACCCCACATTTATACCACAGAAATGAAATGAAAAGATAATATGTTTTTTGCAGAACAGATAGATTACACAACGGTATAAAAGACAGAGGAATGAATTGGGAATAAAGAAAGGACAAAACCCTAGAACATGAACGCACTAATATCAAAGTGGAGCAATCCTCACGAAGCTGCTTGCCATCTTCTGGAACAAACTCCATTCTCTATGTTAATGCTGAAATATGGTGGTACTTTGTCACACCTTTAAGCTCTTTCTTCTTTGCTAGTTGCCACCGTCTTTCTTCAACTTTTTTCCAATTCCTCTTATCAACGTCAAGTTTTCAACATGAGGAAGACGAAACAGAGATCATCAATTGGGCTTTTGAATCCGGGCCACTGATGGGCTTATTACAGGTCTTGCAACATCCCATCCTACAGGCCTGTCAAAGAAAATCTGTTTATGTACGTCATTTGTAGAGTAGAGAAACTATTATTTTAATTTTTTTAATAGATTACAATAACTAGTTTCCATAATATACATTGTATATTAATGTAGCATAAAATTTAATTTATATAATTGTTTAAAAAATACATTATAATTTGATTTTCTTTATATTTTATAATCTATCGAAACAAAATATGAAAAGATCGTTTAGCAAATAGATTAAATCGTAATCAATTTAGAAATTGATTCGTTATTAGAATAAAAAAGTATTTAATAATCATAGAATTTTGAGATTTGAGGATTTTAAATGATAGAATCATTGTTTAAATGAAAATATTTTAATTTTATATTTCTTTGGTGTGATTTTTAATTTTTTTCTATTTTAAATTTTTATTTTATTTTATTTATATGTCTATCTTACAAAAATAACTATTTCTCTAATAGTTATATTAGAAAATATTACATAATATTTAACTATTATAGTAATTATTTTTAATGACTATCTTCACTATATATATATATATATATATATATATATATATATATATTATAATATTAAATTAGAAAATTGGTGGTTAGATATTACTTTTCGTTTATATTTATTTTTTAACTAACAATTTTTTACTTTTTATTATGTTTTAGGTATAACCTGACTAATTAACTTATTTTATGTTTATATTCAATTAAATTACTAAAAGATATATAAAATAAATTATTTTAATGAGTCCGATTTCAAAAACTTAATAAAAAAATGAAATTTGTCAAAGTAATCATTCAAAGCCTTTGACTTTGTTGCTGAGCAATAATTAATCAAATGATTTGGTTCACATCATATTGGATATCTATCACTAAAATCTGCTGTAATGGAAAATTGGTGATTTTATTACATGATAAGATAAACAAGAAGTTATACTTATTAATTATTTGTTCAATAATATATATATATATATATATATATATATATATATATATATATATATATATTATTGATCTTATTTTAATCTCTTAATTACTTTAAACTTTCAAAAAGCAGAAAATCATGATTTTTTTTTATTTCTTTAAACATAAAATATAATATTGAAATAATATTTTTAAATCAATTTTAGTTCAGACAAAAATAATATTCTCTATTGTTTTTGTTGTAAAAATTTGTTTACAATCAATACTTATAAATTTTTTAACAAATATTTATATTATAAAAAAATATGATTTTTTTAAAACATATCTATAATAAATAATTATAATTTTTTATGAAAAAAATATTTACAACAATTTTTTGTAAGATTTACTACAAATATATTAATTATATATATATATATATACAAATTTTTTAGAAAAATTGACAAAAATTTAAAATTATTTACTTTGAATTCTTTTATAAATATAAATTTGTAAAAGATATTTAATAATATTTAAATAAATAAGTATAAATTTTGGTTGATAATATTTGTTTATAAATTTTTCCTCTAGATTATTTTTGCAATAAATAGATTAAATATTTTAATTTATTAGATTTAAATATTTACTTTATTGAAATAAAGAAAATAATATGATAATGGTAAAATAAAACTTATTTCTATTACTTCTATTCGTTCTTTTTACCATTTTGTCTCTATTTTAGACAATCATAGTAGAGAGTAAGATCTGTCACTCTGATATATGTTATGCCCACCCATCTTCACCTAGAGGCTGACAATAAGAGGTGGATGCACCCTTTAAAATTTAAAATTAGGTATGCTAGTGAAGAAGACAAACTTATAAAAATTAATTTATATATTTAATAAGATTTTTTAAATTTATTTTCAATTTTTAGATCAACAAGTATTTTTTTCTAAATCTATAGAATATTTAAATTTCTTAATATAATAATAATAATTTATAATCAAATAAATATTTCATAAATAATACGTATTGATTTTTAAATTATATATAACTTATAGAAATTGTTATTACTTTTAACTTTATAAGATTTACATTTATTAATTAATGTTATTAACTTAGCATAAATAATAATTTTAATTTTTCATTATATATTAATTATATAATGAGGTAATATCTCAAAATTTTGTTTGACTTAAATTATTATTATATTTAGGAATGAAAAATTTATTAATTATTGATTATTTTTAACTAAAACATTCAAAATAAATAATAATTAATTTTGTCTATATTTTTTTAAATTATATAATTATTTTTTATATTTTTTCTAATTTTTATCCACGTATTTGTTTAGTTTTTTTTTTCAATCAATTTTTTTATCTTAATTCTGCAGTTAATACATGTATAATCCAAATTTTATTTTTCTCTATTATAAAAATATATTAACCATTTTTAATTAATTATTAATATTTAATTAATTATAATAGTTTTTATAATATATTTTAAATATTATTTATTTTATTAGCTTAATATTAATTTTGTATGAAAATTAATTTTTAATAGAATTGATCTAATATTGAAAGTTAAATTTAACTGATATATCAAAATAAGTAAATAAAATTACTCTTCTTAAAAATATATATCACAGTTATTTTTTATTTTCATGTTGTTATTATAAATATATAAGGATAGTCATTTCATGATATTTTTCGTGTCACAACTTAATATTGTGTTTTGGATACATGCACGTTGAGTTTAAAGAACATCTAGCATTTTGTGTGTTCACAGACATTAGTATGATATGTTTGTTTATGATATCACATAATTAATATTGAATTCAATATATTCTAAAAACAAAAATAAATATTAAATTTAAAATTCTATTTTTTTATTAGAGGGAGATTTCTCGAATAATAATTTTTTTAACCTATATATTAGATTATTTTATTTGTTGACTTGTTTGTTTTCGTTTTTTTACCGTTGAAGAACTATTTTTCATTAATAAAATTTTAACTTTTTAAAAATTTGACACAATTAAACTTAAAATTAAAAACTACACTGTAAGAACAAGGACATATGGTTAAAAATAATGATCAGGATTTATACATTGATCTCATTTAACAAAGAAAAAAAAACATATTTTTGTTATAACAAAACAGTTGAGAATGTTGTAGTAGAATTTATAATTTTAATTAACTCAAATAAAATATACAAACTAATATTAAACCGTTTATATTTTTATTATATAATTGTCAAAAGAAAAAATTGGTCTGTAAAAAAAATAAATTAACATTTTTGTTAAATTGAATTTAACGTTGATTACATTATTAAGAAAATCAAAACATTTTTTTTACAATTAAAAATAGAAAAAATAGTTGAATAGTCTTTAAAAAATATATTTTTAATCTTTAGCATAAATAAATAATTAAAAAATAAAATCTATTCTTTTATAATTAATTACTTATTTAGTTTTTATGTTAGGAAATTTTAGTTTTTAGTTTTTATAATAAAAAATTCTGTTTTAATTCTTATATAGAGGCTAAGAAAACATTCTAAAATATATTTTGAATATCACTAACAAGGAATAATGTATGATAACGAATTTGAAAAAATAGGAGATGTTGTTGCTGGCAATAGAAAAAAAATTGCATGATGATGATGGGAGCACGATTATCTCAACGCTTCTCCACCTCTGGTTATATATGTACGCATCTCCTAACCTCTCGCTAAACTTTCAATTTTGCCACACAAAACCTTCTACATTTTCAAACTTCTCCCTCTCATGCATCACATTTTCTTAAATCCAAGAGAATAACGTTCTCTGTTATTGCTATTGCATAACAAATGCACATAAATACACATAACACCTTTCATAGACCTAAGTATGATGTCTTGTTGCGTTCCGAACCCTCCTCGTTTAACTCTTCCAACAACGACGATGATGATTTCAATCATAATCGCCACAGTACCTATGTCGATAGCAGCAATGCCTCTCCTTGCACTATGTCCCCATGGAACTTCCAACCCAATACATCTTCTCCTCTCAGTAAGTCTCCATGGTTATTATCCACCTCACCTGCGACAAACCTCTTCAGCGAACACCAACAGTACCATGAAGACGATCTCCCCGTAAATGGCCTCATCGGATCCCTCGTCCGTGAAACGGGTCACATATATTCCTTGGCCGTTTCCGGAGACTTGTTATACACCGGCTCTGACAGCAAGAACATAAGAGTTTGGAAGCATCTCAAGGATTTCACTGGTTTCAAATCAAGTAGTGGATTGGTCAAAACCATAGTAATCTCCGGTGGCAAAATTTTCACCGGCCATCAAGACGGGAAGATCAGAGTGTGGAAAGTTTCGTCCAAGAATCCAAGCAACCACAAACGCATAGGGAGCTTGCCTACGTTCAAAGAATTCGTTAAGAGTTCCATGAACCCAAAGAACTACATGGAGGTTCGACGGAACCGAAATGCGGTGAAGGTGAAACACGTTGACGCCATTTCATGTTTGAGCCTAGACAAGGAGGAAGGGTTATTGTACTCTGGGTCGTGGGACAAGACGCTGAAGGTGTGGCGTGTGGCAGATTCAAAATGCTTGGATTCGATCAAAGCACACGAAGATGCAGTGAATGCGGTGGTGGTGGGGTCTAGAGGATGCGTGTTGACGGGGTCCGCAGATGGGACTGTGAAGGTATGGAAGAGGGTGAGCGAGGAGAAAGGGGAGAAGGGAGAGAAGGGGGAGAAGGGAAAGAAGGCAAAGCATGTGTTGGAACGGATTTTGTTGAAGCAGGAGAATGCGGTTACAGCATTGGCGGTGAATGATACGGCAACGGTGGTTTACTGCGGTTCTTCTGATGGGTTAGTGAACTTTTGGGAGCATCAGAAGAATGAGTACTCACATGGTGACGTTTTGAGGGGGCACAAGCTTGCCGTGCTCTGCCTCGCAGCAGCGGGGAACCTCGTCTTCAGTGGGTCTGCAGATAAGAACGTGTGTGTGTGGAAGCGCGATGAGAATGGGTTCCACACATGCCATTCAGTTCTGACAGGCCACAAGGGTCCCGTTAAGTGTATTGCGGTGGAGGAGGAGCACCCGCAACTGGAGAAGCAAATCAAAAGGGAACAACGATGGGTTGTGTACACTGGGAGCTTGGACAAGTCGGTGAAGGTGTGGCGCGTCTCTGAACATGCACCAGAGGTGAGTACGTTCCAAACCTTGGTTACTCCCAGTCATGCTGGCTCGCTCTATGATTCCTCTTCAGGAGCATTTAGCTACTCCTCACCGAGAACAATGAGTGTTAATTCTTCCATGACAGAAGTGAGTGTTAATGCTTCCATGACAGATATGAGCTATTCCTCCCCGCGAAACACCAATGATTGCGGTGAAATTGAGCAGCATAGTAACAACAATATTGATGTCTCTAAGAGAACTTTCAATGACAACAACAAGAACCGTGATACTGCTAAAAACAATGGCCAAGGCAACAAGGATGACACTAAAAGCAATGGTGATGGTCTCAAATATATTGATGGCACTATATATAGTGACTATGGGCATAGCAAACAAAGAGGTGGTGGTATCACTGAAAATAAAGACTTTGGTGACAATAGTCGCAGTGCTAAAAGCATTGACAATTGCAACAACAATCATAACGATGGCGATGATAGTAGCAATTGCAACAGCCATAACATCCATACAGGTAAAAACATTGACATTGGCAAAAACTGTAACACTGGTATGGGTAAAAGCATTGGCATTAGTAGCAACAACAGTAACATTGATCCTGGTAAAAACATTGTCAATGACAAAATTACTAAAATCAAAGACAATGGGAACAACAACTACAACAATGATAGCACTAAAACTGCTGGCAACAATGGCAATAACAACAAATATCAGAAGAGTGTTAGAACTAGAACTAGTATGTATGGAAACAACAATAGCAACAGTAACAGTTCTAAGAGCGGTGGTGCTAAAAGCGGTGACAATTGTGATGATTCTAATGCCAAGGATATCCACAACAATTATGACGCTAAAATAGATGGCAATGGTAACAACATAAGCAACAATCATGGTGGTTCTAATGGAAACAACATCCACAAATTTGATGACACGAAAAGAGTTGACAATGAAATCAACATAAGCAACAACAACCACCATCGTGATAATGCTTATGGCAAAAGCTTCTGTAACAAGGATGATACAAAAAACAATGACATAGGTGAACACTCGGACAATTATGATAATTTTAAGACTGTTGGAAACATCAACAAATATAGTCATCGTGCTTGTGACAATAACACTCGCAATAATAGTGATGATAATAGTGGTGAAAAAGACAACAACACATGCATGAGTCGTGATTATGCTAATGAGAATAACATTTGCAACAGTGGTAGTGGTAAAAGTGGTTACGATACTGAGTATAACATTCGCAACAATGGTTGTGCTAAGAGCAAGGACAACATCAGCAACAATCGTAATGGTACGTATAACAGCAACCATGATGATACTCTTGGAAATAACATTTGCAACAATGAAGGTGCCAAAGGTAAGAGCAATAGATGCTATGATAACAAAAATAGTTCTAAGAGCAATGGCAACGACAACAACAATCGTGACTTCATTAACATTCGCAATAAGGATGATGCTAAGAATACTTGCCATGGAAGTTACAGTGGCAACACTGATAATTCAAAGGGTAGTGACACTGACAGTAATCACAATAATGACCATGATGATGCTCATGTCAATGGCAACAACATCCACAACAATGGTGGTTCCAAGAGTGATGAAACCGTTAGAAAAACATGGAAGAATTATATTTCTAAGAGAGGTGGTAATGCTAACAACAACCGCAAGAGTGAGGGTGCTTCTGAAAATGTGAATAACATTCGCAATCCCAGTGCTGGTAAAAACAATAATAATGAATCCAACGGCTCCAACAATGATAATGTTGATGGTCGCAAAATCAATAGTCTTAGTGCTAAAATCAATAGTTGCAACGACAACGGTTTTAGTGTTAAAAACAATTCCAATAGCAACGTTAACGACACAAACAATCCCTTCCAAAAAAATAGCAATGATGTTGGTGACTACAGAAACAAGAACGAGAGATACTTGCAAAGTAGAAATCAATAGTCATTAATTATGTACGAAATTAGTTTGTTGCATAAGGAAGTTATAAGGTATATTTGTATAGGAATTTTTAACTACATGATTTCCTCTACTTGTAATTGTTTGTTAAGGGGTGAATAATGGGATCAATTACATGTTGTAAATATGATTTTCTAGACTTTTATGTACATATACATTGCCTTCATAAATACTTTATATCTATGCCACTCTGATATGATAATTATATTTAAAAAACTAAATAATTTAATTACTTCTAGCATGCCGATTCACAAATACTACATCCTGTTTTAATTTATATTCAAATATTATATCATATATATTATTGGAGAAAAAAATCATTAATTCATATCCATCGGTATAAGTAATAAGTAATGAAATATATTTGATACTCTTATCAACTTTATCTAATAAATTTCTGATACAAAATTGTTCTAGCTATTAACTTCAATTATGAAAAATATCTAATCATAATAAAATCCAGAAAATAAATTAAAATATAGAAAATATAATTATTATTATATTATTCAATTATATATAAAAATTGTAAAAAATCATTTATTTTAAAAATAATTAAAATTTTAGACTTATTTTTCATTCTCATTTTTTTTAATTTAATAATTCAGATTATTTATTATATTAAATAATTATATAAAAAAATAGTAAATCTTTAAATCATACTCTTTAAGTGAACACACACACATATACATACATACATATATATATATATATATATATATATATATATATATATTAATAACTTTTTATACTTAATTCTAATACAACCATGTTGCAAAACATGAAGTTTTTTGTCCACATAAAGAAAAGAAACAATAAGTAACAAAATATGATACATGTAACATGGAGCAAATTTTTTTAGTGAATAAACGATAACTAAGGATACAAATATACAATTATAACTTTGACAGAAGATTTTTTTTTTTAATTCTTTTAGAATATAAATTTAAGGTATATTTTCGGGGTTTAAATTACTTTTAAAAGGTAATATTTTTAATCAATTTTTTCATATAAAAATTCTCATGTATGGGAAGGTGAAATTAACTTTTCCGAGAAAAATAAAAATTTTACTGAAAAAATCACGTTATTTTTATTAAGTTATTTAATATTACATATATATGTATATATATTTTTATAAAAGTGATGCATTACTTCTTGATTTATAAAAACTTATATAAATATTCTTAGAAATACTTTTCGCTAAAGCTAAACAAAAAAATCCTGAAAAATCACAATTCTTAAGGATTTATAATTCTCAAATATAATGATTTTCGGTATGCCAAACGCATCCTTAAGTTAACCATTAACAAATTTATTTACCGTCTTATAAATAAAAACAATTAATTTTTAACATATTAATTTTTTTTATCAAATTAATAAGTATTGGAACTATAATATCAAACTAAGTTGGTATCCATATAAACTATTGTAAAAAATTTATAAAAAAATATAAAATTATAGGGATAAAACCAAAAATCCATACAAAAAAATAATTAATAAAATCTAATTCCTGCAACCTAACCTATTCTTAGAGAATAAACCAATAACCCCCTTAGTTAAAATATTCAAACCAACGAAAATCATACCTAATATCAATTTATAAATTAACAATCTTATTATATTTTTTTCTCAAAAGATGTATGAAACTCTAAAGTTCATAGTTCATGAATGATTATGTGAATTTATTTTTAAAACTCTCAATTTAGGCAGTTTACTGAAATATTTTTTTAATAATGTTAGTTTTTTCTTTTAATTCAACTAAAAATAGTTTCGTTTTTTATAAAAAATAACATTTTGTATAGTTTAACGTAGTTCAATTTAATTTCTTTTAACTTATAAATTATTATATGATTCAATTAACAATTTTTAAAAAATTGAATACTAATAAATTTTCCAGAGGAAATCATTAAGAACTTCTAGATTACTTTATAACGCATGGCTAGGATGATTGTGATATAATATTTTCTTTATTTTAGGAGAACCAATAGAAGGCTATAGTAGGAAACTCAATAAGCAACTTTTTTTGTTACTCTTTCTCCTTTGACAATTTAATTAGTACTTAAGACATTTTATGTACCAGGTGTCATGATTCTTAGAATTCTAATCCAAAATGTCCTGTGCATAAAGCTTGTTTCCATCATCTACAGTTGGGAATGAAAATGATCCTAGCTGTAGTTTCTGGAATTTGGTGTTTGCTAAATTTGAATTTTGGGTGATTTTGATTTTATAAAATCAATTTTAGTTAAGACAATATTTGAAGGGAAGTGATTTGTCATAAAAAAAATAAAAAAGTTTTATCTTAGAGATCATTTGATTTACTTCTAATAACACGTATCCTTCAAGAACAAACTTTGATTTATGATGATCACATTATAAATGAAACTGTTATTGAAGTCACATTTACAAAAATAACTGCAAGTTTGGGGAGACATGGAATAAGACCATGTGGTGGCAACATGAGTTCTAGCCTAATCAATCCATTTCCTTCAATATTAATCCCAGTATTGACTCATTCCAAAATGTTTTCCTCAAGCAGATCAAACTTGTTCAATATTCTTAGAAATTTCTTGTTGCTCAAAACTCTGAGTGATGATGATCTTTGACTGCTAAGATTTTGTTGGTAGCAAATCCATTACTGACTTTTTGGATGTACACTGATGAGCTGAGGTACCTGCAAGCACAAACAAAGGTTCAATGCATTGGCAAGTTGCTTTATTCATTGCTATGATTATGCTTTCAGTGGCATAATCAGCTAGGTTAGTTTTGGTTTAGAATCAACAAAAGATTTAAGTGCATACCTCAAAAACTGAAGATTGTTTTCATGTGTAAACTTAATGAAATGAAAACTGAGTGAAGGATCATGCTGATACACAGGTACAATAATGAGTCCTCATGACTTGACACAGCAAATGAAAATTCCATAGAAGATAGCCGTTGGATAAGGTTATCCCCTCAGCACACAAGATGTCCATGTCCAAGGGGTCATGATCGATCCTGGAAATGTCAACTGCCTGCATCCGAAGAAATATTCAGACATTGATGTGATTGAGGGTAATCCTATATATTTTACATAATCTCTATTCCCAAACAGAGCTAATATAGAAAATGGAACAAAGAAGAAAAATAACAACTTTATAGGAAACAAAATAAATAATAAAGCTGCTTGAAACTTTATTAAGTTCAATCAGTTATTAGAATAGTACAGAATTATGATGTGATGATGAATATATGTGGAGGACAAGACATTATCTCTCACCTGCTCTATTCTTGGTAGATATTTTTACTTCATAATTTGTGGTATTGTATATGGCCTGGCTGCATCAGCTGGAAATATTGTAACCAAGTTACCAGACATCATGGATTTGTGTAGCCAGTGAGACAAAGCTTCTGGTTTTGGGCTAATGGTGTCAATAATTTCCCCAGTAATCCCTGTTGCAAACTGGACATCAATAACTTCCTCCCTTGAGATATAAATTACCAAAACATCATCAAAATTCATTCTCTTTTGCTAATTAACTATTGGAAGACTTCATACAAGGGAGTGTAAAAATGCAATCATATTCACTGGTGTATTTACAAATTACTGGAGGACTAAGTTGATTAACCAAAACAATTTGTACAATAGAGATGAATGTCTAGGAATGTGATCGACAAGAACCAACCATCAAAATGTTTATGTGGTATGATTAGGAGTGGCCCAGGTTTCGAACATGCTCAAATCCGGCGCGTGTTCGGACACGCGCCACACCTTCACCGACTTGTCCAAGCTCCCGGTGTACACAATCCACCGTTGATCCCCTTTCTGGCGAGGCTTCTCCGGTTGCGCCCGATCCTCCTCCACGGCGATACACTTAACAGGACCCATGTGACCCGTCAGAACCGAATGGCAGGCATGGAACCCATTCTCATCGCGCTTCCACACGCACACGTTCTTATCCGCAGATCCACTGAAGAGAAGGTTCCCCGCCGCGGCCAGGCAGAGCACGGCTTGCTTGTGCCCCCTCAAGACGCCGCCGTGCGAGAACCCTCCCTTCTCGTCACGCTCCCAGAAATTCACCATCCCATCAGAGGAACCGCAATAAACCACCGTGGCCGTACGGTTCACCGCCAGCGCCGTAACCGCGTTCTCCTGCCTCAGCAAAATCCGGTCCAACACGTGTTTTGGCTTCTTCCCCTTCTCATCGCTCACCCTCCTCCACACCTTCACCGTCCCATCCGCGGAGCCCGTAAACACGTAACCTCCGGACGCCGTCACCACCGCGTTCACCGCATCGTCGTGCGCGTTAATCGAATCCAAACACTTGTAATCCGCCACGCGCCACACCTTGAGCGTCTTGTCCCACGATCCGGAGTACAGCAACCCTTCCTCGTTGTCCAGGCTCAGACACGAAACGGCGTCGAAGTGCTTCACCTTCACCGCGTTCCGGTTCCGCCGAACCTCCACGTAGTTCCTCGGGTTCACGGAAGACTTCACGTACTGTTTGAACGTTGGCAAGCTCCCAACGCGTTTATGCTTGGTTGGATCCTTGGACGAGACCTTCCACACTCTGATCTTCCCGTCTTGGTGGCCGGTGAAGATTTTTCCGCCTGAGATTATTATGGTTTTGACCAATCCACTTCTTGATTTGAAGCCAGTGTAGTCCTTGAGATGCTTCCACACTCTAATGTTCTTGCTGTCGGAGCCTGTGTATAACAAGTCCCCTGAAACGGCCAAGGAATATATGTGACCCTCCTCGCGCACGAGGGATCCGATGAGGCTGTTTCCGGGAAGGTCGTCTTGGTGGTGTTGGAAGAGGTTAATGGCGGGAGAGGTGGCTAATAACCACGGAGACTTGTTGAGAGGAGATGAAGAATCGGGTGGGTAGCTCCATGGGGACATGGTGCAGGGAGAGGCATTGTCGCTGCTATCGGTGTAGTTTCTGTGGCTGGCGTTGCTGTGGCGGTTTTGTTGGAAGTTATCGTCGTCGTTGTTGGAGGTGTAATGCGAGGTGGCTTCGGAGTGCAATAATGCTCCAAATTTGGGTCTGTGCAAGGCGTTGTGTATATTTCGCTCCACCAACATGGAGCCACCGTATGCGTTTGTCATTAAAAAAACAAAGACAAAAACTGGTGGAGCAGGTTTTTCTGGTTTGGGAGTTTGAAAGGTGAGAATTTTAACAATGTTTTTGGAGGTTGTATTTGTGCGAGGGTGAATTGAAAGATGAGCGAGAGGTTCGGGGACGCGGATATTTATAGCGAGAGGTAGGGGAAGGTTGGGGTGATGGGTGCGCGACACGTGTAGTGAAAATGACAGGGATTTTTTGTGGGAGAAAATGGGTTGCGTTTGTTCGGTTCATCATATGAACGAGAGGGTGTTTTGTTTGTGAAATTGCGATGGGTTTGACTTTAGAATTTTTATACCCGGAAGGGAAGGGAAGGTATTTGTCTAATGTTGACCTTTTTGGCTTTGTCAAAATAGCACTTTTTAGCTTATCACACCATGACGTTTATCTCATCTCATTTCTACCTGTCCTATCCCTTCTTTTGGACGGTAAAATGGATTGTTTTCTATTTTCACGCACTTTTATTCTCATGCATTAATGAAGAAGCTCCACCATTTTTACACCTATCGCAACTCTCCTTTCTGAATTCCTTGACTTTTTATTCCTGGGTTAACTTACTGTACTACGTAAAATTAAAGTTCAATGTTCAAAGATTGACAACGTTTCTTTTTATCATATACTCGATGCAGCTTCATGTTGAAAACACTTGCTGATTTTAATGTCACATTAATATATGCTGCTACGCGTATGCATCTCTTTTTCAAAAATCTGGCCCTAGTTTCGGTCCATATATGTACTATGTACAGATAAAAGGTTTCAGAATATTAAATAGTTATTAATGTTCTCACATTGGTTTAAAGATGAAGAAAAAGAATGTGAAGGCTCAAGCATTTCTTTTATTAAAAAAAGAAAGACACGTGAATCATATGATTGTACAAACATGAGTGTGTACTATGATTCTTGGCGTCTATGGGTTAATCTATTACTTATTCAAATTAAAAAATTAGAATAATATTAGAAGGTTGAGTTCAACACGTTCAGGGGGTCAATTTAAATTCCTTGTTCCCGTGGGCTAAGGAATATATGCAGATGCAATGGCTCAACCGGCCATGAGCGAACATTGTGATGGTGTTGTGTGCTATCAAAACCATGCATACACAAATATTGGAAATGAATTTTGACATGACACGGGACAGAGACAAAAACTTGGGATGTGAAGTCTTAATGTTTGTTGAACCATATATATGGTCTTCTAGGGTAGCATCTAAATTATAATCCAAAGCTACCAAAATGTTCACCGTTTAACTGTTTAAGGCGTACGATAATTACAAGTTGCATCTATCTACGTCTTCGACATCGACATCAATCTTCAAACTTCAAACGTTGTTGAGGACCACTAATTTTTTTAATGGAAAAGTCTTTCCCAGATCGAACTAATCCGTGACCAAACATCTTCCTCAAATGTCTTTCCCCTTTCATACTAGAATTAATAAAAGAACTATTACAATAATCTATGCTGAATTGGTATGGATAATTGCTCTAGGTCACAGCTCCTTTAGACTTCAAGCATAAGAGTTAAAAAATAATATATGATATGGTTTATAATTTATAGTTTTATTTATCTCAATAAAAACAAGTTTCACTTTATATATTTCCATTATTTTATATTATATGTTTAACATATGTACAAAAACTATACTTTTTAGAATAAGTGAGTATAATATAAAAGTATGCTTTTATTGTTAGAGCATCTTCGTCATGCATGATTTTCCTTGTATTTTAAGTTGTAAAGATCAACTATAATTTTTTTTTTGGTTTATTTATCCAATTAAACTTATTTGTTGTGCATATACAAAATTTAATAATAAAAAATAAATTTATATGATATAATATAATTATTATTTTTCTTATTTATTTTACTTTTTTTATTCTTCTTATTTTTTTCTCTACTTCATATTTATTTTTCTAATAAATAATTTTTATTTTAAAATATATTATTTATAAGATTCATTCCAAAAATATTATTAAAATTACTTAATATACAGAAAAAATTAAAAAAATCATCTCATAAATCTTTTGCCTAAACATTTTTTACTATTTTAGAAATCAACCACTCAAATTATATTTATTAAAAGTAAACAAATTTAAAATTCTTTAACTCTAATTCTAAACGAGAATAAAAATATAGACACATTTATATTTATATTTTTTTATAAATATAATAATAGTATAATAATGATATATAATACTTGATATATTTTAGTTTCTATAAAATTAGTTTAGTTTTAATTTTGATTTTATGTTATTTTTTAAAATAAAGTAGTTTTATAATTTTTTAAACAAATAATTTTTATAAAAAATTTAAATCTCTTATAAATTTATTATATTTTAAGTTAAAATATTATATTAAATTAATATTTAGTTACAATAATTAAATTGTTTTAAATTATCAAATGAAATGTAAAAAAATATATATATAAAAATATGAGTATTTATAAAAACTATCTATTAAAATAAAACATAAAAATTTAGAATGAATTGTTTAAAAGTATATATATATATATATATATATATATATATATATATATATATATATATATATATATAACAGAGATAATAACATAATAAATTAGATTGTATGGAATTCATCTGAAATATATTATATGTAAGATAATTGGTGTTTGAATTTGGACAATATTTATTTACAGAGAAGACATGGTGGAAAAAGAATCCATTTTGCGTGCATTTTCTTTGCAAAAGTGTATTAAATTCAATGTACATCCACAAATTATTTATTGGTGATAGGTAATATACTTTTTATATGATTTTCTCAAAATGATAGCAAACCTTTTTACCTACATTTTGACTTCATTGCAAATACGTTAACAATTGGGAGCCTTGCCCCTACAAATGAATCAATCATTTCCATTTTATTATTTTTCTCTTTCATACACATCATGCAATTAGGTTAGTATAAATTAATTTAATACCAACTTCTAACAAGATTTAAAAATATTATATTTACTAGTCCTTTTATTAACCTTATTTCAAATGATAAAATAAGTTAGGTTTAATAAGTAGATTTATTAATTTTAAATTGGTGTATTAAATTGATTATTTTAATTTATTAATTTAATAATTTAAATGTCAGATAAAATAAATTAATTTATTTTTAAAAAATGTTTATATTTTGAAATTACAATTAAATTTTATTTTTATATTATATTATAAATAAAATACAATATTATAATTTAAATCATAAATATTAATAAATTGATATATAAATATAATTATTTTTTATTTTCTAATAAAATATTAATTAATAATACAAATTTAAAATTTATTTATATAATTAATAATAAATTTTTATATATATATATATATATATATCAACTCGTTTTTAATGAAATATACTTAAATTTATAATTTATTTTAATTATGATGGACTAATTTTTACTATTTTTATTTAATATATGATTATATATTTATATTTTATCATTGAATTAATTAATAAATTCAACCCATAAATTAATCCAAATTGATCCAAATTGATTTTTTATTTAAAATTATGTAATTCAATTATAAATATGATAAAATTTTAATTTATAAATATAATAAAAATTAGAATTATATATATATATATATATATATATATATATATATAATAATCATATAATTTTTTTACGGTTAAACATGAGAAAATTTTTACAAAATTTTTATAGAAATTACAATAAATAAATTTTTTACAAATTTAAATTATTTTTTACGACAAAATTTGCAAAAGCAAATTTTTAATAGTTTATAACATCTTTTTATTATAAAATATTTAATAACATTTTAAATTGTTATAACAACCAAAGTTTTATAATTCCTTCTATAAAAAATTAATATTTTAAAAAATTACGTTCAACAATTTTATATAATAAAAACCAATCTAAACTTACCAACATTTGATTGAATTTAAATTCTATAGTATATTAAGATCAAAGCAAATAGAAAATTCAACCAAAATCGCAAACAGCTTTATGAAAAACATGATATAATACAAAAGTTGCACATGTGGCAGTTAAATTGATGTGTTAGGAATGAACGTCACGCACGCATGGTTGAGTTCATTGAATTGCACCGTGCTCGATCTATTCAAGTTCGTAGTGGTGATCTTAGAGTTAAACACAACACAGGTGATTCATATTTCTGATACAACTCCACCACAGAGTCTTTCTCATTTTATGACCAGAAAACATGACAGAATATATACGTTCATTATTAATCTGCATATACGTGTCAATCCTTTTCAAAACAAAACATGTACGTGTCCGCTCTGAGCCAAACCAAGTCAAATCACAAACCTAACGTTCTTTGCAGACTTTCTTCCTTGCTTTGCATGCTTCCTAGCTCGTAGTTGCACCAACTCAACATGTGCAAGTGAACAACAATTCTTTCCGTGTTGCCCCAGCTAAAAAATAATACAATATAAGAACTCTTAAACTCTTGCTCAGAATCTGTCAAATGTGAGCATAACATTTTTCACCGTGTCTGCTTGTCATCAAACACCTTATCCTATGCCAAACATGATTCTTACCAAGTATATACTTCAGTGGCAGTGTAACTAATTTTAGAAGAAAAAATTGGTATTGAAGGACTATAAAGTATGTTGTTTAATTAATTAGCAAAAAGTTACGAGAGCTAACAATTGCAATTAATTAATCTGGGACAAGTGTCCCATTGAGCTGTCCCGGTATTGCATTATAATAATAAAAGTTTTGAGATATTTTCACACGAAAGGCCACCTAAGCTAAAAATGAATTAACCCATTCATTTACCTACGTCTTTAGATAGGCCTAAAATAAATAAAAAAGAATAGGAGTAGACCAAACACAATTAAAGGTGTACAGTTACAAGAAAGAAAGCAATGGATTTAGTATAGTAGAAAAGTAAACGAAGAGTTGGTGATGAAAGTAAAAGATAAAAAATTCAATCTCTTTTGAAGAAAATATAGTACAAAAGAAAGAAAGAATGTTGTGGGTTTTCATATAATTGTTCCTTTCTCTTCATTTCCATTCCCCATTTTCATTTTTCAGTTTGTTAATATGAAGCGATTATATAGCTGATGATTGCGTCAGCAAGAACGTCAAAGCCTTTGAATGATTTAAATTTTCTTTTTTTCTCTTTTCATGATGGAAAAATTATGTTAATGTTGACAACGTGGCACTCGTCTGATATCGTTTGCTAGGACTAGAAATTCTCCATTCTTCCCCGAGTAAAGGCAGTGCAAGAACAAATTAGTTGCTTCTTTTTGCCCCCAACGCGACACAATCATTCATTTCAGCACATATGTCTGTCCCACATTCTTCTTCTTCTTCTTGTCCTCTACCACAAATTATTTTAAATCTTTTTCAGCAGAAATTCAAATTGTCAGCTCCCATTTGTAACTAACTATGATTCTATCGTTTTTATTTTTCTACAATTAAAAACATCTTTTACCATACATAGTTAGACTTTCGATGCCTAAATTACGCTTAACAATGACAATATGGACTGATATAAATAAGATAAAGCAAATTTGACAGTACAAAACAAAAAACATATAAACTTTTTACTTAAACATGTCCATAAAGAAACCACAGGTTTTGTCATTTTCGGTTTATCAAACCCTTCTGATTCATAGTTTCAGTTATGATGACATAAAGCCCAAACTTGACTTGTGTCCACTGTTTATGAACAGTGATGAAACAGTATTAGTACTAGTTTTCATCATATTACTAACTGAAACGTGAGATGATTTTCATCATCATTAGTTCATTTCACTAAACAAAGGTATAAGAATAGAAAACATTATTTTTTTAATTTTTTCTAATTTATCGATATAGGAAATGGAGGCATTACAGAAATATCTGAAGAGTGGGTAGCAGATCTAGAACCTGCATTTGTTGATGACAAATGAAGCATGGATCGAAGCTGGTGCTGTACACTTGGCGCGCTATTGTAGAATCATTGGACCATAGTGCCGTTAGGATGCAAATGTGAGACACGAGTGAAGAGTGTCCAAGTAATCTAATCATAACTTCACCAAAAAGGAAGAGAGTAACCAAATGATAACATGGTAGCTAAACACCAACCGCTATTAGTGCTCTACAGGTGGCTATATTTTGCTGACCGCACTACACCTATCTACCTTTGGCCCATGCATTCACCATACGCCAACTAAACAACTCAACCAAAAATCAGTGTCTCTCATGAAGGCATGCATGAAGTCCAGCTCCTCTTTTGACTCACAAACAAAATATCTCCCACGTTCATCAATCATGGAACCAGGATTTCTGTATATCATGTAGCTGCATCCCTATCCCTATGTCTATTTGAACATTCTACATGTATTATCTTTAATGATAAAGGGTAATACCAATGCAGAACTGTTCATTAAAATTTTTATGTTTAAACTCTTTTTTGACAGAAACTCTATATAGTCTCTGTTAGTTTCATTCTACACAACTACAGTAACATGCAGAAAAAAAGAAAATAAAGGATGATTATGGTAAGATATTATAATATTTGATGTTATTTATTTTATTTTCTCAAAGTTAAGATAATGACACTGCTAAGATTATCACTAATTAATGGCAACTTCAATTATAAAAATTATCATTCTAACTATAAGAATAAAAACAAATATGGGTGTTTATCTTGGAGATAGCTAATAGCATTGTATATATCACCAATTTTAACTTTTTTTTTGTGAATGTATATCTTGATCTGTAAGTGGATTGATTTGATTGATAAATTTGTTTATGGTCCTACAAGTGATAGAAGTGAGTTTGTGGGGATGTTGTTGTTGGCAATATTAATGAAAGAAGTGCAGTGTACGTGGCAGGTGGTGGTGGTAGTAAACTGTACAAAGAATGAAGATAAGAGATGAATCATGGATGATAAACCAATAATAGCAATCTCTAGAGTTCACACTTCTAAGCCTTCTCAATTTGCTCACCATTTGCATTAATATAATTATTTTTCTATAATATTTTTTTTTACTATTAGTTATAACATATTATTATTTTCTTGCGAGATTATATATATTATTTGTACTTTTAGTTGGTGAAATTTTAATAAAAACAATTGAATTTTATTGTACCTATATAAATAATAAGATAATATTAGATATTATTTTTTTTATTATTTTTTTCATATTCACATTACATTTGAACCTTATATTTACTTTCGCATTAATTTCTTAAATTTTTTTTTTCTTTCCAATGAAAACTTCACTCTTATTCTTGTCTTCACCTTGTTGGATCACAAAAAATATAATGTCTAGGCTGACAAGTCACTTAAGTCAAAAAATAAGTTGAAATTCATTGATAATATTTTTTTCAAATCACCATCAACCAACTCTCTTTCACTACTGCAAAAAGACTTTTTACATCGGTTAAAATGGGCTTTCTACGTCGGTTAAAACGACGACATAGATACGGGGTCATAGAAAGTAAGACTTTCTACGTCGGTTCCTAATAACCGACGTAGAAAGTAATCGGTTCTGATCGATCATAAGCTGGTTCACGATCGGTCATAGAAAGACTTTCTACGTCGGTTAGTCGAGGAACCGACGTAGAAAGTCTTTTTCTATGAGCTATGTTACACTTTCTACGTCGGTTATGTCATTAACCGACGTAGAAAGTACTTCTACGTCGGGTAATGACATAACCGAGCGTAGAAAGTGTTATTTTTTTAAAATAACCGCATTTTCTTTACGAGATGCTACCTTTCTTCGAGTAGACTCGCCTATTCATCACGAGTTCCGAGACAAATATTCACGAGATCCAAGTACAAACAGATATGCACAGTTCATATATAAATTTGCTACGGATATATATCCAGTATGAGACAGATCCGAGTTACTGAGACGGATATGTACATATGAAACATATTGAAATCAATATATGTACCTCGGTTCCAGACAGTTCATTTACTTAAACGAATGTAAATTTGCTAACTTAAATCAATTCAATCTAAATTGTTACAAGTCAAATTTACAAGTCAAAAAAGTGCATACATTATCAAGTTGGAACATTCTCCCAAAATCCTTCCATATGGTCATAACGTATGGCATGCACATCATCTATTTCTACATTAACACTCAAGTTTGGCATATTTGAAGAGAAACATGGTGTCTCCGGTATATCAAGTACTAATTCATCATTCTCATCGAAGTATACATGGGTTTTCCTTGTAGAACCACTGACCATCCTTTGTTAGCGGGATCAGTGACATAAAACACTTGTTTTGCACGAGATGCCATGATAAATGGTTCTTCGGTATAACGAGTATTTTCAAGGTTAACCAAGGTAAATCCAAAATCGTCGGTGAAGATGCCAGTATTAAAATCAACCCACTTACATTTAAAAATAGGTACTTTCGAATATCGTGTAATCTATTACCCAAATCTCTTCAATTACACCAAAGTAGCCCATTGACGCCCTTATCGGATATTTATCCTTTGAACTCGAGAAATGCATTGATTCGACCACCACCATGACTCCACTATTTTGCATTGTGCTTATTTCATCTTCTCCCTTTGTATAAAATGAATAGTTATTTATATCATACCCACCCCAACATATCACATCAAAGTTTGGCTCACATGCTAGCCACTTTAGTGTATCGAAGCTGTATTGTCACCTTCAACTTGTTGTTTAAACCACTTCAAAAAGCTCTTGTTGTGTTCGGTGATCACCCACTTTTTAGGCATACGTGGATTATTTCGCTTCACAATGTCTTTATGAGCACTTAAGTAGGGGATGACTTCTTCACTGTTATTCAATATGTAAAAATGCGCTTGAAGTACTTCATCTCAACACATTGTCACAACTTTTGCACCTCGAGTTCCTCTACCAAGACCTATTCCATGGTAACGAGTCTTAGGTAACCCTATAGCTTCAACTTCGATAAGTATTTTGTGCAAAACTCAATAGCTTCCTCTCGCAATATATCTTTGAACAATTGATGCTTCGGGACGATATTGGTTCTTCACATACCCTTTTAATATCTTCATGTATCCCTCAAAAGGGTACATCCATCGTAAGAAAACTGGACCACAGATTCTAACTTCCCTGGCTAGATGAACAATCAAGTGAACCATAATATCAAAAAATGATGGAGGAAAGTACATCTCAAATTGACACAATATGACTGCAGCCTCATTCTCTAACTGATCCAAAACATCTGGGTCCATAACTCTACTACATATGGCATTAAAAAAAAAGCATAATCGAGTTAAGGAATATCTAACATTCTCTGGTAAGATACCTCGAATAGCCACAGGTAGAAGTTGTTGCATCAATACATGACAATCATGAGATTTTAACCCAAGCAATTTTAGATCTTTCATAGATACAAGTCTCTTCACATTGGAAGAGTAACCAAATGGAACCTTCACACCTCATAAAAACTCACAAAAACTTCTTTTCTCTTTTTTAGACAATGTGTGACATGCTGGAGGCAAGTATGTTCGGTTACCATGAGGTTGGGGAGCTAATTGTTCTCTTATACCCATTTCAACCATGTCCAAACGAGCATTGACACCATCTTTTGTTTTTCCTTGAATGTTAAGGAGCGTTCCGATGATACTGTCACACACATTTTTCTCTACATGCGGGACATCTATACAATGCCTCACATCAAGAACCCTCCAATATGGAAGAACAAAAAGGATTGACATTTTCTTCCATATACCCGTGGCTTTCTTTTGCGTCTTTCCAAACTCACACGAAATCGCACTTACTCGTTGATATACTTGTTCCCCACTTAAAGGTGTTGGGGCTACATCATTTTCTTGACACTCGTTAAATGATTTTTTTAATTTACGATATGAATGGTTTGAAGGAAGAAATCTTCGGTGTCCAAGGTACACTTGTTTTCCTTCCATGTTGTAGTTGATAGTGACATGTGTCTTCTTCACATATCGGGCAAGCTTTATGTCCCTTTGTCTTGTAGCCACTCAAATTACCATATGCTTGGAAAGTCATTAATTGTACAAAATAACATTGCACGCAACTTGAATAAGTCACCTGTGTACCCATCAAACACATCAACACCTTCCTCCCACAACATCTTCAACTCTTCAACCAATGGGCGTAAAAAAACATCAATGTCAT